TTACCTAGATATGAATTTCAGGTTTATAAAAACAAAGGTTTTAGGTAAAATATTGCTAGCCCTTATGATTCTAGAGAAAAGCTTGAAAACCATGGCTAAAGTTCTTCCCAAAAGCTCAGAAGCCAGACACCAATGAAAAAGAATTCCACATTTCTTCTGCAAACATTTAAATATCAGGATTTTGGAAAACTTGACAGTATTGTTTCAGAATACAACAACATTTTGGAGGTATTTTATAAATATTTGCAATTCTAGTCTATACGCTGTCACAGATGTAAATACAATCTTCAAAAAGCAACATTCTCTTCAGTATTTTATCTTAAACAAAGGGAAATAAAGTGTAAATAATCCAGTGCCTTTATTTTCTCTCCCTCTAAATAAAAGCACACATTTCTTTTGTTCCACTGTAAGTGACACTGTGGTTAAGGTGAGGAAAAACAAACACATTCCTAAACTGTGCCTAGCTCACCAAGTATTAATGCTGTAGGTAATTTTCAGGTCCATTTCTAGCACTATAAACTGTAAATTACTCCAATCTCAGGATAAAATATTTTGGCTTTTTGTATACAGTAAATGAACTATTGTGGAAGCATCCCATGTGTATCAATGATTCAATACAGAGTCTAGCACAGGAAAAATGCATTGTTTGTTTATATGGTTGTTTGGCATGCCTGCTGTGTAAAGGTGCAGAAAGGCCTGTTTCTTCCTGTATCAGAGTTACTTTTTCTTTATCAAAGTACGAAGATATTTCAGTCAGAGAATAGTGCCAACCGAGCCATTTATTTTAGAGAAATCTGTTTTATAACGTAGGCTTCAGTTAAAAAAAAAAAAAAAAAGTTATTCAGGGAAATCAAAGTTACTGTTCTGCCGGTAGTATTCAAAGTGTGGTGCTTTTTAGGGCTGTGCTAGTGTTATCTTGTATTACAGAGGAGGCAAGGCTCCTTAAATAACATTTCCAGAAAACTCTTCAGATTTGACCTGGTCGGGGTTTCATTCCGATTAGTTAACAGGTAGGCATGTGTGCCTCATTTTGCAAGACAGATGCCTGCTTGGAATACTGTACACAGCCAGGCAATTTCTGTGAGGATCTAAATCAGGATGGTGCAAACCCAGCTCTTTAGATGTTGTTTTCCAATAATATGTTGAACAGAAAGAGCCCAGTTGCCTAGGTAACAAGCCAGAGTCACTGAGCAAGGTTCATTTTAGTTAATGAAATGATAAAAGGAAAAGAATGATGGATCCAGTTGTTCTAAACTGCTACCATGAATATGGAGATAGAGAAAAAAGTGTGTGTTTAAGGTCAGCAGGGAAGCTGTTTCAGGCAGGCTGTCCTAACTGGGCCAAGGAAGTAAAACCCAGAACGGTGAGAAAATCAGTGTGCTCTGAGTGGCTTCACTAACAATGCCTGGAGTGCCAGATGTGCTTGGGAATGCTGTTTAGGTTTGTTTTGGGGTATTTTCGTGAGCAGCCCTGCCCAGATGTGGCAGTTGGGGTGAATGGGGCCTGGTTGTGGGGGACATCTGAGGGGTGAGGGGTGGTTACTGGCTGTGAGGCTGTGGAGAAGCTTCCAGAAGGAGGTGGGCAGCGCACACCAGCAACAGCCAATTGTCAGGTGCCACCTGTCTGAATGAACCAATCAGCTGGGTGTTCTTAGCCCTGTAGCAGAGGGCGGGAGGAGTGTGCTAGGAGAGCTGCACACCCCGAGGAGAGACCTAGGGCGCTGGCCTGCCTGGGTTCTCCCCTGGACAGGGAGGTTGTGTAACTTGTAAATCTGTGATTAAAGTGTGTCTGAGTCGATCTAGTCCCCACACTGCCAGTTTGGTTTAGAACAGTGCAATTGGAGCACGGCCAAGAGCGGTTGCATGGCCGTGCAGTACTTGAGAAATAAAACATGGTAGGAAATGGCTGTTTGGAGATTAGCTCTTGTTCCAGACTCATTGAAGCAGTGTAGCTTTAGAAATACATCCTTTAAAATTGAAGAGTAAGCTATATACTGTCCTGTCACAGACTAAAGGAATGTCCTTGTTTGATTCAGACATACCCCATGTGACAAGCGAGGTGGAGGCTTTCTCACTTCTGAAGAGAAGTGGGTAGCAGCAGTGAATTTTAAAATGGAGGCTATAAATGGCAAGCTAAAACTCCAAGTGCTAGTAATTGCAGCTAATCTCTTGCACACATTGGGTTATCTGAAATTCATGGCATGTGAAAGAAAATGAAGAAGGCTGAGTGAAGCAAGAGGAGGATACAGAACCTTTTCTTACCTCAGGTCTATTGATCTGAATACTAGTGAAAGTTAAAACCATTTTAAAAATACTACCCTTACCAAAGATATTAGAGATGACATTTTTCTGCTCTGTAGATAAATGAGGAAACAACTATAAATGTCTAATGCTTTTAGCAAATACTGATTTCCTGCTTTCTTAGCTTGCAAAAAACATGCTGCTTCATAGTGTTCAGTGAATAGTCTGTCACTTGAGCAAAGTGAGGGAAGATCAATGAAGTCCTATGGCAAAGTATTAGCATCTTAGTGAAGAACTGAGCCCCTGTATTCATATAAATCGCAGGTAGGGAGCAGTTCTGTAACACTTCCTTCCCTACCTCCTGCATTAAATAAGGAGTAAAATGCATGTATCCTATAAAGAGTTTCTATGGAGCTGGATTATTTAATTGGATTTTCATAATTTGTGCTTTATCCTTATTCATGTGAGTATACGGAGCTGACAACAAATAAAGTTTGCTCTGTGCAAAGTTTGCAGAGTTACTTTCTTCATGCAGTGGAACTTGGGAATTGGAAGCAGCCGTGGATGAATTTTGGTCTTATGTACAGTTCTGAAGGCTGGGCAAGGAATATATGTCTCTTGGTTTTGTCTAGGACAAGCTCACCTTTAAAATGAGAAGAAGCAAAGTCTGTTCACTTGTGGATATCACATTAGTCTTCTAAAAATAATACAGATTTGTTTTAAGTAATTCAGTATTTCAAATACATGTTCTTTTTTCTCACTTAAGTACTTTTCTGCTAAATAAACAAGGGGCTTTTCAGATTTTTCATAATATGGAGCAAAATGGACTGGTCTATTACTAGGCTTCTTTCCTTCTGTTGAAATATCTGGTCTGCCTTTAAGGTTCCAGTGCAGAGTGGAAAGTTGGGTTCTCCTGTTTCACTCATGTACTCCTATTCCTGTGTTATACTCCTTACTGGAAAGGCTTCATCTCCTAAAACAGGCGAGAAGGGAGGTTGTTCACAACCTGAAGCAAAGAACAAGAGGTGTGAAGATGTGTAAACATCCGACAAATATTTATTATTTTAATTGCTGTATACTAAATTAAGGCTTGTCACACTTTGAACATGAGATAGCCATACCTGGTTTGTGTTTGCTAGGCAGTCTTTCAATACAGAGCCTCTATTTTAGCAATCAAATAGGAAGGGGCTCACATAGCTCTTCAGCACTGCAAGTCTATAATCCACCAAGCATATTCCTAGGGTTATATTTCAAAATACATGAGTACTAGGACATACCTGCTTTCTTAAAAAAGTATTAAGGATATATACTTCTTCATAATCAAGAGACTGTGTGTGGAGTTTAAAGACCAAGGTTAGTTGCATAGGTCCTGAATACAGGTTTGGAACTGTCCGTGCTAGTGATGAGACCAATCTTACGAAGGACTAGCACAGTTTGGAGAAAATTACTTGTCTCTGATAACCAGCTAAAGACATTTGAGATGTTTTGCAGTGGTACATTGTGTCAGAAATTGGCTTAAAAAAACCCAACACAACAACAAAAAAACCCCAACTAACCAAAAAAACCCTCTTGCCACATAGGGTCTCTAACAAGATACATCTCTGTATCTCGGGTGTGTTTTATTTACTGGCTTACAACAAGCAATCTCTAGGCACAATTTTCATTACAAAGTCATCAAAATTAAGTCTCGCTGCAAGAACATTGCGTTTTACAATGCTCAGTGTGATTTTTTTCAATGGATTAATTAACATAGCTGTTAAGACATAACTTTTATGGTCTTCAAATTGAAATTTAAATGAATAATGATATATTTTTTAATACTAATCACAGTTAGGTATCTATACCAGTTTATGCATCATTAAAATTATAAAAAGTAATTGTGTGGAAATATTTCTCCTTAAATATGGTACACTAAAATACTTTCTCTTTCCTAGTTCTGAAACTTTAGTACAACAGAAGATACTGATAAAAGTATTTTCTGTAAATAAACCTCTCTGGAAGCGGTGTCGTCTGCTGCACTTCAAGTGTTTGTGCTCCTGCTTTTATCATACAATAGTTTTCACTACTGTGACTTCACAAATTACTGCAGGATACAAATATAGTGGGTGTGTGTGTAGGAGCAGCCATTGCGCTGTCAGCTTCCAGCCTTGATTACCTTATGGTAATCTGTGTTCAGTACTATTTTCTAGTGTGCTGTGGAAGAAGGCAAGCACCAGCATAATTAAAGATTGGATTGTAATGCAAATACCTGCAAAATCATCACATAAGAATGAAGAATGCCTGCATAAAATTCAGTATTATTACAATGTAGTATTGCTTTGTGACATCACTTTGATTTTGTTTGCTTTATGTCTTTTTGCTGGTTTTGAACTTACTCATTTTTGTTTCAGTTTCCATTTCTTTTAGTTGTCAGAAAAGGGTAAACTGGCTATTAGAATTCTTTCTTCATAATATTTTTCAATTGGAAGGGTTTTTAGGTGCTTGCTAAAAGTATAGTCTTGAATCTGTAAAGCTAATACATATCTATTTTAATGCTATTAATAAGCACTTAAAAAGGATTATTGAAGTAAATCTGCTTTAGCCTTTAGTCATGTGTGTTTTTATGTAATATTCTGTAATAACTTCTTGACATATTGACACAACTTAAATAGTTTTTTTCCTTTTAAATGAGAAAAGGAGAGAAAACAGAGAAGAACTAAACATATTCTTTATATGCTAACCTTACTTTTTTATATGCTAACCTTATTACTTTTCTTGCAGGAAATCCTGGCTGAGTAAAGTTGGAAGCCCAAGTTCTCGCATAGATCGAACAAATTTTTCCAATGAAAAGGAGATTTCCAAGCTTGACTTCTCAGGATTTAGCACTAGATACTAATAGAAGAAAACATCACTAAGCACAAAACCATGACGTTTCTGCTGCATGATATTTTTTGTGCCTCCATAAAATGTCACAAGAGTATTTGGATGATTTCTGTACTAGAGATAAACATAAATGGTCCCTGTTCACATGAAGTAAGAATTCTTAGTTGCTGTATTAGACATTTTACACCATGACTGTCAATATTTAATATCTAAAATGCTAATATCTAATTTATTGCATCTTGAAAGCTGGATAAATGGTTAAAAGTGCCAGTGATCATTTGTGCACAATGAGACTTGTTATATATAACCACATGGCACGTAATCTTTACACTGTGATTCATGTTTTACATGCAAAATAATTAATGTATGTTCTACTGTTCGTAACCTCACCAAAAATACTTAACTATAGAGCTGGAACACTAAGAGTTCTATTGTAACAGCTCTGTATTATAGATCATGTTATTTGTGATAATTAGTTAAGATATAGCGGTACTTTAAATTAAATGTATGTTGCCTCAAACTAAGTTTATCTAACCAGCTCTTGTTTAAAATTCTCTGTAATTATGCAGATAAGTCTTGGAACAAGATGATGAAATGTGTGGCCTCTCATCCTTTTTTCCTTGTCTACCTGCAGCTTACATCCATACTGACTATAAAGGATGTTTTGATCTTTTTGCTTTTTTGATGTTCTTACTAAAGGAAAATAACTGAAATATTCAATTTATTGATGTGTATTTGCTCCTTAGTTAACAATGTATGTTGGAACCTGATTTAACATGATGCATCCACACACATCATATCAAGTACATGAAAGGTCCTGAGAAACTTGAGTTATGTGCTTGCAATAAATACTGGATAAGTCTTTGCAGTATTGGATCTAATTCTCATATGTAGTGCTTTTTTCACAGGCACCAAGGAGTCTATCAGGGCTGGAGCAGACCTATATCCTCACTTCTCAAGGACTTCTGTGTCAGGATTAGTACATACTGGAAGACTTTGGTTAGATCTCTCATATATCCAAGCAGGGACCTGCATGATCGGCAGTATTCTCAGTTAATCAAGATTGGTGTGATCATGCTATGCTGGAGGCTCAGGCTGTAAGTCCCTGTGAGAAGTGTGTAGTACATAAAGTGCAGTAATACTGCAGTAACGTGATCATGCGGCCTCGACTTGGCTCCGAGCATGGGCAGAGCCTGCTGTTGTCTGCCTGCGATCTATCTAAGATGCCCTTCATGGGGATAATTAAGCTGGTATTTCCACTGCCTGGTCTGTATCTTTTCTAAGGGTAGGTAGTGTCAATTTAGGCTAATCATCAAATTTGCAGTTTATTTTTTTTTTTATTTCAGGAGAGGACATTTCATAACTTAAGCATTGTGCTTTTTCATCTGTGCAGAGCAAGGTGTGCATAGAAAGGTATTTCTACTGACTACTAGATTTATTTTCACTGGGCCTTTGTGCATTAAGCAGTAAGATCTCCTTTCTAGAATTTGGAGGAGTTATTTATAAATTGTTATAGTTCAAACTGCACTTGTCTTCTATGATTATACACAAGCATCCTTTGTTGAAGTCATTGTCAATAACTCTTGATCAACTCAAATGGTAAATGGCAAAGTTCACGTGTAGCGGTAGCTCAATAGCTGTTACATCCTCTCTGAAAATTGTATCCTGCAGAACAGAAGTAGTTTACATTTTCCTTGAAGCTACCTGGCAGAAAATACCCCCTCAAAGGCATTTCCAGCGAAGTTGCTTTGCTTATATTTTGAGCAACAATGATAGAGGAAGGCAGGAAACAAATGGGACATCAGATACACAGGAAGAGGAGTCAAAGATGAAATTGTTGTTTCGATGTGTTGGTATGGCTGGAGCTGGATGCTCATAAGGACTCAGTTATTTTAACCTGACTCCACTAGAAATTCAAGGCTTGAGGAGGGGGAAGCAGCTATTTAAAGTGCTCACTTTTGGGGGGAGAAAATGTGCAGGTAGAGAATTTTCTCAAAGTTGAAAGATGAAGAAATCTGTATGTAACTTTCTCACATATTCAAAACCAAAAAAATACTTGAAGTCTTGATATGAGCACTACACCAAGAATTTTAGAGTGCTTTTCTTTTCCTCACCAAGAAGTTTTTCAGCAGAAGTTATTTCTAATATGGTATTAAGCAAATATAATTCCTGTAATCTGCGGCCTATATACTGTAGGCCAGACCTCTTGTTAAGCCTGTTACAAGGGTGTTTTTCTCTATCTGTGTGACAACACTCAGCCTCTGCTTTTGCACGTTTTGAGCCTATCTGAGAAAAGGTTGATTCTGGAATACATCTATAACCTTCTTCTTTGTTTGCGAGTCAGCAATACTGATGTTTTCTATTTTCAGCATCCACTTCCCTCACCTCAGTGTTATGACAAGAAGCAAAAAATACATGCAAGTTCTTTAGTGAGTTTAGCTCTTAGTTTCTGACATTATTCAAAACTAAAATAGATGTACTTTGTGTTGTGCCATAATATATTTAACAGTTTTCTAACAGTGCTAAATAAATAGCACATAGTATGTGTTTCATTCTTAGAGAGGTTAAGATTTCGCTGAGCAAATAAGCATTACAGGTGTGTCTGTTTCCCAGAAACCCTGGGCAGGGTTTTCAAAGGAAGAGAAAAAGGGAATAAATATCACATTCCATACCTTCAAAGTTGTGGGAAGTCTTATAGCCAGTTGTACTTCTGGAATATACTCATGTAGAGTTTTCTGAAGTGCTGGGGACAAAGGGATCTCTTCCATTATGCTTCCTCATTCTAGCTGAAGATGGTGGCCCAAGGTGGTGGTAAGGGTAATAATAATATATAACATAGAAAAAACGTATGTCCCTGTGAATTTAGGCATTACTGAGGCCAAAGCCCATCTGTTATCAAGCTGAGGAATTAATACTTGACTTACTGAGTGCTGCTGGCATCCTGATGCATGGCCATGGGGAAATGCCTTCACAGACATTTTAGGCTCTTTTTACATTGCATTGAAATCAAAATGTAATGCATCATACCTGTTCTTAACTGTTGTTGCACAGCCATGTTTTATTCATGCAAATGCCTGCAGTACAGTTAGGATCCCGTATTTGTCAAGGCATATAGCCAGCTTGAGAAGTAACTTGCTTTATGCACAGGGCAATGTTTGATTTGCACAAACTGGCACCTGCCTTACTTGTGGGTAGATATCAAACTTGTAGGACTTTTGGCCAGGTGATCATCAGCAATAAGCAAATAATCCTGCATCTCCTTGGGGATATGCTGCACACAAAATGGAGGCTTGTACTGACTGCAAGAAAGAGAATAGATTGAAGTTTCTAAGTAGCTTACATGAGATGGTGTTGTCAAAAGCATGTTGAAACGAAGTGGTCTAGAAGACAGTGTGTCATTGTTGCTCTCCTGAAAAGGCTATTATAAGTGAACAGATACCAGTTTGTTTTTTATAACTTGGGTGACTTTTTCCAAGACAGATATTCAAAGACTGTTCAAAGTAATTTCTGTTCTCTGTCTGAAAGATCCCTCAGATGGAGGCAGGATGCAGTCCTGCAGTCCAAGCAGGTCAAGGCTTAATGGTGAGCCTGTGGTGTGGCAGGAGATGGTGGTAACTTCCATTTGTCAGCTTCCTGGGTAGGCTAGTGAGGCTGGCCTATGTGCTAGTGAATTCAGGGGTTCTGAAGTTGGATGAAGAGCTCATCAGAGGGATTGGATGAGTCTGGGCAAGACACCTTTGCATTTGGGGAGACTTGAGCCATCTGTAGAACTTGGTTGCTTGGAAGTATTTTTCCATGCTGCAAGTCACGTGTTGCTGTGTTACTGCAACTAATGAAGTGTTGCCTTGCACTTCGTGCATTAATCTTATCATTTTATTTAATCCTCAGATTCTGTTAAAGTATCATGAGTCCAAAGTCATCCAATTTGTGGAAATACAGTGTGTGCAGAACATCAGAGCAGTATCTCTAGATTTAATGAAAACAGCATTGATTTTGAGGAGCCAAAGAATTCCAATGGTAAGATGGAAAAAAAGGCAAGAACAGTTGGCTAATTAGACGTCAAAACTAAGTTGACACCTTTTTCCTTTTGTACTACATACTAATATCACTTAGTTATAACTGTAGATATCCTTTAATTTTATTTTGACTTATTTTTTAAAAATGCAATTTAGGAAGAACAAATTATGTGTAGGCCAGCTCCATTCTTGCTGTAAGTGGAAATAGTTTCCACCTACCTAAAGAGGATTGAGACTTCTGAAAGTCTGTTCCCATTATTTCCAGGTTATTTGTGAATTCTGGACAATGCTGACTTTCTTGAAGGAAAATTTTGTGCCTGACTTGTATTCCACCGTAATTTAACATTAAGACCAGACATTTTAATTAAAATTGGAGCTTAACTCCTAAATGGCCAGGCAATTTAAAAAATTTATGGGTTGGTTTATATTTGATTAAAGAATAAAAAAAATAATCTTCCCTAAGCAGTGTACAGAAGTGAGAGCATTCTGCCTCATCAGGAGTGATGGAATCATGTATTATGCTATCTATTCTCAATACTTAAAATGTTGTAATGCAGAATAGGAATGTTCTGCTATACCTACTCATTCTTAAGCCTTCGTACAGAGAAAAGCATGATGGTATCTCCTACCATACTTTCTCTTACATGACACCAATCTGTCACTTCCTATTTTCTTGGTATCCTCTGGAGCTGCCTTTCTTGGCTTGCTTTGTTCTTAGAAAACTGTATGCATGTTTGCTGCTGGAATCCTCTTACTAGACAGAATGAACTGGATTAGTCAAGAGAGCGTACTGATTAATGCATAGCTACGTCCTACTACCCACTGAAAGTACTCTAATTTGAAGGGAACACTGTAATGAAAGATGAGGGCAAAAATTGGTGTATGCTATAATGTTTTTCAAAAGTTTGTTTATACAGTGGCAATACTGTAAATTGGAATTTCTGTAGTATTGTTCATTCTTCAAGGCTCCTCACAGTATCTTATGTAGTGGGTATAAGTACTAGTATTAAAGAGTCAGAAGTTATTTCTGCATCAAAACCAAAAAACATTGCACAGACTTAAAA